ACTCTTGAGAATTGAACCAGAGTCCAGCAAAGTAATGAATAAAGACAATTGCCTGTTCTGCTGACTTGTCTCTCGATTTTCACCCAAAATAAATGCTGATAGCAACAACAATCTAATTCTCCTTGAGTCTAGGACTGGATATTTCCATAATTTATACACTGCAACGGAGAGCAGTGGACTTCCTACCCAGCTAGTTGATGAACCTCTCCTTGAATGGCCCCCAGTTTCACCCCTACAGGTTCAAAAACTAATTTCTCAATTGGAAAACAGTAAAGCTCCTGGTAAATATTTAATTGTGATTCTGATTCTTAAAATTAAACCCTCCATGGTGGGCATCTGTGCTTGCTCCCCTCTTTACAGCCATAAACAATTCCTTATGTCTCCCTAAAGATTGGCTTCCAATTTATAAGAAAGGTAATATGATCCTGCAAATTATCAACTAATTAGCCTTTGATTTATAATCAGTAAATTATATATTAGATTTCTATATTATAAACTTCTGGACTGGATATATTCTGAAAACATTTTGGCCCCAGAGCAAGCCGACTTTGGGTCTGAACATATTCAGCCATCAATGTACCATACTTCATCACTTAGCTGAGAAATATTAGTCAGCCCAAAGAAGCTCTCTATGTAGCTTTTATAGGCTTCAAGGCAGCCTTTGTTTCTATTCCGTGAGAACAACTCTGGAGCAAAATTAGCCACTGCAATGATACACTGCCTTCTTCTTAGGCTAATAATGCTATTAAAACCAAGGCACAACCACTCAAGTAAAGGTATTATCCTTGGTGATTTAACTGAACCCATTTTTACTAGCAAAGGTATAAAGCAAGGCTGTATCCTCACCTCACTACCATTAACTTTTACATTAACAATATTGTTGAGATGTTTGCTAAGCCAGAATTCCACCCTCCCTCCCTTGCCCACCACCCCATCTCTATTCCCCTTTATGCTGATGCAGCCATACTGTCTGTAACCCAAGTAGACCTCCAAAGATACCTTAAAGCTCTATCACTTTATTGCTCTAGTGAACATCTCAAAATAAATTACTCCAAAACGAAGTACTGGTATTTTCTAGGAAATGCTTTAAGACCCCAGTTAAATGGACAATTAATGGAAATTCATTGAGCAGGTAAAATTCTTTAAATATCTAGGTCTCTATTTTCAATCTTCTACCTGCTGGTCTACTCAAACAAGACAGCTTCTAGTAAAAGCATCCCATGCAATTACTAAATTTGCAGGTCATTTTGGTAACAATTATGCCCCAGCAGCTATTAAACTATTTAAAGCTAAAGTTCTGGGTTTGATGCTATATGATGTTCAGCTGTGTATTTATAAGGAGTCTCCTAGTTTAGGCACAATCAGTCAAAATTCTTGAAAATCTTACTAGTTCCTTATTCAACTTCCAATGCCCTAACACAACTAGAATTAGGCTGCATTTCCCTTGGGGCCCTGATTAAGTCTTTGTCATCTTAGATTCTGGCTGAAGCAAGTCTACTGGGGAACTTCCTTAGTTCATCTCATCTTGCTGGATAGGTTCTCTTCCAATCTAAGAAGGCAAATTAATGACAATTTGGCCTTGTCAGCATTATCTGCTTTGGGACTTGATAAAACCTTGGCTGGACTAAAGCAGAGGATTTGGGATCTAGATATCCAAAATGACAGAGCCAAAATCTCCTATCCCTTTTATAGCACAATCGCTCCTCCTCCCTGGTCTGCCCCTAGATATGTCTATAACATCATATATGCTCCACATAGGAGATTATTTACTTTGGCCTGAATTGGGCAACAACCAGCAGATATATAAGCATCCATG